AGAGGTCGCGGCTGACGGAGGAGCACAGAGCCTCGTGCAACTCGTCGTGGCTGTCCGCGGCATCGCCCATGTGCTTCCGCACCATCTATCCAGTGATCTGGAGCTCGCGGGGTCCATCCCAGCTCGCGCAGCATCAGGATGAGAGCCCCCATCGGGCCCGTCGCGCTCCGCCATCTGGAGCGGGAGCGCATGTATATCAACCTCCTGAGCACCTCTCGCCACCCCCGTCGAACTCGTTCTCGTAGCTCTGGATGAGCCTCCCAGAACTGGAACCACTGCTTGACCTGATCCATGACCACGCTCATCTTGGGGTCGTCGTCCTGGTAGTGTAGCAGCAGGGCGGAGGCCGTGCATCTGCCACCGACTGCGCGCCCTGCCAAGTCTGCCGCTGGGGCACGCCAGCGCCCTCTCACACGGCGCCACACCCAGGACTGGATCTGCATATCGGAACTTCGCCTTGATATTGGTGTTATGCAGCATGACTCCTTTGGACCTGTTGCCGCTCCGACCGACTCGCCTGAATAGGGCGGTACGTGTGGCACGCGCCTGCGCCGTGGTCATCCTGCTCTTGGTGGTCTTGGTCGCCCGCTTGAGTCCCATGGGGCAGTCCGCCCCAAGGTCCTTGGCCCAGCTGGCGCGCTTGATCTTGATACCAGTGGCCCGCAGGACGTGCCGCTGGACTTTCACCTCATCCTTAGCATTCGTCATCATCAGCAGCGGCTTGGGAGAGACTCGCAGACCCAAGTCCAGCGTGCCCTGCACCAGCTCACATGTGACCGTCTTAGTCTGGTCCAGCACCAGCTTCCTTGGCCCTTCCACACGCGCATGCACATCGTCGACATACTGTCTGATGCGGGCCAAGGGGGCCCTCTCATGAGCCCTCTCCAGCAATCGGTACAGGAAGACCCTTGCGCAATGATTGGCCTTCCCGCACCCTGGTACAATCGAGCAGTTCGGCACAATAGACTCCGCATAGGCCCCTTGGGCCTTGATCGTACGAGGCGACAAATACGTTAGGCAGCAAAGATACAACTCCACCGTAGGAAATTGAAGCCCGATCGCCTGGGGAATCATAAGAGCCAAGTCCATATGATCACGAAGCTGTCCAACATCAGCCAGAACATTGCTCTGCTCGTTGAGGCCGATGTGTGCACGTGTCTCGTCCAAGACCATGGTGAGCAGGGCAGCTTGGAGCGCGCTGCTGCCCTTCACCGCCGCGCCCCAGTGCGCGGCCCTCTTGTCGCACCACTCCGTCAGGGGGGGACTTGGTGAGGCGCCCCCAGATCCTGACGGGCATCGGCAGGAGGCCGATGTCCCTCTCGTTGCCCAGCTCCTGCTTCTCGCCGTTGGGCAGCAGCGCGAACCAGTTGTGCATCAGCTGGTGCGGCCAGGCCAGCCCTCGCTCGATCATGTTGAAGAGCGTGACGAGAGACTCCTGCCCCTGGTCCGAGGGGGCGAGGGTGTGTGCAGGCTTCCACTGATCTGGACCCGCGCCCGTGCTCTTCGGGAAAGACTTGGGTGCCACCACCAGCTGCTCTCGAGTGTGGTAGGGGCGATCGGCCAAGTCCTCGTGGGCACGGGTCCGCAGCGCACCGAGGGCAGCGCGGACTGCTGGTAGGCGGTGTGGCTGAGAGGTCCACCGCGCTGCCCAGCAAGCCGCTCTGACATCAGTGGTGCCCTGGACCGTATCGCATACCTCGCCAGTGACGGGGTCGATGCAGGTCTCATCCAGGGCGCGCTGCTCGTTCTTCTTCAGGTAGCGGTGAGCGCCTTTCATGGAGCCCTGCACGCTCTTGACCGCCCAGCTGCCGATCTCGCTGCGAGTTTGCTGCCAAGCCAGATTGGCGTGGCGAATCGAGCGGGCCTGCACCTTCAGCGCGAAGTTCTGCCACAAAGCGTAGTCGGTGCAGGCACGAATGCGCTCTCCCTGGCAAATAACCTGCTCATCATCTCTGAACACTCGCCACTTCCCCGTCATATCATCAGCATGGCCATCTGGAACAGGACCACAGCTGTCATGATAGTTGCGGAGCTCGGACAACAGGCCAGTCACGATGTCCTGAACTCGCTGACGATAGCTCGAGTGACGAAATCGACCACGCGCCACCAACTGCTCCTGCACCCTGGCGTGTAGGCTCGCCCACCTGCTGCTGAGGGCGTTGGCGCTGGAATGGCCGAAGGTCGAGTCCTTCTTCTGGACCACTGCACGTCTCAACTGATACATCACTGGCATACCACGGCGGGCTCCTTGACGCAGCTCGACACTACATAGGTCTGCCAGTTGTGCCTCCGCCGCCAGCGACCAGATGCCGTGCTGCTTTGCAAGGGCCTCCGGCATGTGCGGGGCAGCTCTGTACGCCTCACTCTTCTGCGCGTCTGGCTCAGCCTGGGGGAATGAAAAAACCGAGACTCTCGCTGGCCTCATTCGCGTACTGGATCCACTCTTGGTCCTCGCACCTCTGGGCCCGCTTGATGACGTAGTGGTCGTCCAGCAGGTGGTCGTCGTCGTCGTTGAGCAGATCACCCTGCTGCAACACGTCCTGCTCATCGCGCAGCTCGTGGATCTTCGCGTGCTTCTCCCTGTCCCGCTGGAACCTCTTGAGCCCCTTGAGCACTCTGCACTCGCCCTCGGGAATCTCCAAGGGTACAGGAAGGACAGGTGCACGGAGGAAAACCGATGCGGGGCGAGACTTGATGAGGATGTTGAGGCCAATATGAGGACCCCACGGCAGGTTCTGTACTGGCAACACCTGGGACAAGAAGGGCCAAAAGCTGTCGGGCACCACAGCGTAGTCAATCATGCGTCCTTTTCCTGAAGTGCACGAGACCTCGACCCCCTCTGGCGTCACGACGCGAGCTCGAAGCACGTCTAACCAGCCCGACTTTGCCATCTCAGTTGGCGTGGCGCTGAAATCTCCCACCAGCAGCCATGGCACGTCTAGTGACTTGACGATCCTGGCGATATTGAGCATCTTCCTGGAATTGGTCCCAACCATTCCGATGGAGCAATCCATGTAGCAGACAATGAATGCAAAGGTTACCCCATGAAGCCTCCATAGCACGACTGTCGTATCCCGAAGGGCATCTTGAAACACGCTCCTGCCTAGCGATCCTGCTAGATGGGTGCTGGTGGCATATGTGGCCCTGCGGAGCCAGCGCGCTCCCCCGTGCGTGCCCCTTACCGACCGACCCGTAGCCGTAGCAGCCGTCCACGTCGCCTCAGATCTCCAACCAAAATTGCGAAGGCGCCTCTCCTCGCGCTGGCATTGCACTTGAGGCAAGTGGTGCTCTGCCATCCCCATGAAGTCATACGGCGCCGGCTCTACGAACTTCTTCACCTTGGGGCTCCAGCTTGTGACATTCCCGAAGAAGACCGAGACATGTTCCCGCTGGCCGAAAGGTACTCGGTCTGCATTGTGATAGGACGAGTTGTCACCCGCCCGACGTCTTTCCAGCACTGGCTGCGGCAGCAGTGGCAGCACCTCCCGAGCTGCCCGAGCGAGCTGCTTCAGCCACTGCCGCCCTGGCCTTGATGGCCGCCGTGCGCTGGATGTACGCCTCGACGTTCTTGACGTCAGTGAAGTCCTGGCTGGACTCGACTGGCTTCTCGTCTTCGTTGACCTGCTCCTCGGCACCTGCTGCAGGGGCTCCTGCAGCGACTCCAGCAGCACCCGTGGCACGACGCCGCTTGTGAGTGGCTGTCTCCCGCAACTCCCGAAGCGTCTTGGCCGCGTCCTGCGCCTGCTGGCCGATGCTCTGCGCGTTCTTGTACACCTCCTGGGCTTGCTTGACCCTGTCCAGCGCCGCTTCGCAGGCCTTCTGCTGCTCTGGCGTGAGGAGGGCGATGTCCTCAGGGCCCAGCTCGGGGAAGTTGAGGGACTCGTCGGCAGCAGAAGATTTGCCTCCATCTCCTGCTCCCGCCGCTGCACCTCCAGCTCCTCTGGCCGCAGAGGTCTGGCTGGTGAGACGGTTGACCTCAGCCTGCGCCTCGGCACAAGCTCGGGCGTTCTCTTCCAGCTTGCCGAGGAGCTCCTGCCCAGTCTTGGCGTTGGCCACGAGCTGGTTCTTGAGCTTCTCTTGCTGGCAGTGAAGGCGGCGGAGACTTGCTGCATGCTGTTCAAGGAGAACCGCTGGAGCCTTGGGAGGAACGGGCTTGATCGCGTCCGCCAAAGCGGGGCAGACCAGCTCCAGCGCCTTGATGGCGTCCTCATCCTTGGCGTCCTTCGCAGACTTGTACTTGGGCAGCGGCTTCTCGAGAAGGGTGCTGCCTGTCTCTCCGTCCTCCAGAGCGAAAGTGACTTCCTTCTTGATGGAAATCTTCGGCCATGGGACGTTGCACAGTCGACAAGATTCCCAGCCAGGGGTTCCAGCTCTGTTGCAATAGACCCAAAAGCCAGGACAATTTCGGCACACATGATACGCCTGGCGGCGCTTCCCGTGGGTGGAAGGCGGTCTCGAGCCATCCCTGCTCCTGGCCCTCTCATTGCCGCTGCGTCCCATCAAAACTGTTCGACACTCGACTTTGGCCGCCTGAAGGCGCCCCTCAAGCCGCGGGAGCCCGTAGCGCGCACCTGGTGCACACCCGAACTCGGTACGCGCGAGTGCCGTGCGGTCGTCGGGCCTCTCCCAAAAGGACCTCGGGCCGCAGAAGGCTTGAGGAGGAGGGGAGGAGGAGGAGGAGGAGGAGGAGGAGGAGGAGGAGGAGGAGGGGGAGGAGGAGGAGGAGGAGGAGGAGGAGGAGGAGGAGGAGGCCCCACGCGTGGGGCTGACCAGGAGGACGCCTCGCCCTCGAGGGTCGGAGGAGATGTGCCGTCGCCTCCTTGGCGGAGGGCGGCGGGAGGGCGGCCGGAAGTAGGACAAGGGCGCCTCTGCTGGCGGACGCTGGCGGAAGGAAAAGAGGCGCCTCCCCCAAAACGGTCACGTTTTTGTTTTGGCGGGGGTCATGGTTGCCACCAACTGCCACGGCGTGTTGATCAAGTTGCGACGTCGGTCGGTCTGAGGAGGCACGTTCTTTCCTATCACGCGCGTATGGACTGGGTGCAGCAGAGCTCTGAGCCGATTCTCGCCCCTGGCCTGCCCGACCTTGAGCTTCAAGGCGCGACGTGGACCCGTCGCGGCGGAGGTCCTCGCGGTAGCCCTGCGCCGTCGCTGGACCCCCCTCCCAACACCCTTGGGCGGCGCTTGCTGCGACGCCTCCACCCGCTGGCGGGAGACATTCCGTATCCACGGTCTCGTGGACCGGGCCGCTGGGCCACGACCGCATGGATACGTTTTTCCTAACCATCCTGTGGTGTTGGGTCTTCGCTCAGGAGAGACAGCGCGCCGCGTCTCATTCCCTCCTCCTCCCATTCCTCCTCTCCTCCCTCGCCCCTGCCCTCCGCATGTCTATACCATATGCAACCTCTGAACATCGGGCTCTGTTGTTCATGGACATGGGTATCCCCCACCCACTACAGCGTTTAATAAGCTCCACCGATGGCTCCGGCGGCAAAGTTCGCATGCGTCTCCCCCGCCCAGTACAGCGTTTAATGGTCCATAGGGAGCTCCACCGAAGGCCCCAGTGGCAAAGTTGACATGCGTCTCCCCGCCCAGTAACATGCTTCGTGGCCCATAGGGAGCTCCACCGAAGGCCCCAGTGGCAAAGTTCGCAGGCGCCTCCCCGATCCAGTACAGGATTTCGTGGCCATTGGGGAGCTCCACCGAAGTCCCCAGTGGCAAAGTTCGCTTGCGTCTCCCCCGCCCAGTGCAGCGTTTCGTGGTCCATAGGGAACTCCACCGATGGCTCCAGCGGCAAAGTTCGCATGCGTCTCTCCCGCCCAGTACAGCGTTTCGTGGCCCGTAGGGAGCTCCACCGAAGGCCCCAGTGGCAAAGTGCGCATGTGTCTCCTCCGCCCAGCACAGCGTCTCGTGGCCCATAGAGAGCTCCACCGAAGGCCCCAGTGGCAAAGTGCGCATGTGTCTCCTCCGCCCAGCACAGCGTCTCGTGGCCCATAGAGAGCTCCACCGAAGGCCCCAGTGGCAACGTTGACAAGCGTCTCCCCGCCCAGTAAAATGTTTCGTGGCCCATAGGGGGCTCCACCGAAGGCCCCATTGGCAAAGTTGGCATGCGTCTCCCCCGCCCAGTTCAGCTTTTCGTGGCCCATGGGGAGCTCCACCGAAGACGATACCCACACCTGCAGTTATCACAACTGCACATGATTGGGTCCTTCGTCATGCTAATTCTGTTCGAAGATGCTCCGCGCGGGACGTATCCATGCGACCGCGTATCTGCTGGATATCGCCCCCCCGAATGCAGACCGCGAGGGCGTGGACATGGACATGCTCGCCGCTCGTGACCCAGCGCGCTCCGCTCGCTGGTCAGGGGGCGCGGGGATGCGTGCCCAGCACTGGCCCAAGACACCCGCATGGACCTCCGGCACTTGGTGCTCATGCTGCCCGCTCTGTTCTCCCGCCTGTCGTCGAAGAACAAAAATCAGCATGCACGTAATTTCTCGGAGGCCCGCGCGGACATCTTGGATCGACGCCGTGCCCCCCTCCGGCGCCGATGTCCAAGAAACCCGCGCGGACCTCCGAGAAATCAGGTCTGTGCCACTTTTTGCTCCTCCGCGTCGTGTGCTCCCTGCAGCCGACGCGGCGACGCGGGGGGCCTGGACAGGCGCGCAGACCCCTCCTCGGCGATCGACGTTCGATCCAGACCCCCTCGGCGCTGCTCCCCGCGCTGGGCGCCTGGGACAGCAGGGCACGGCCAACAAGCACGTTGCTCTGGAGGCGTCGAGGCGAGGGCCAGGGCCCGGGCAGCACGTCGATCGCCCACCTCCTGCAAATGCCCCCTTCGCCGCGTGCCGCGCGCAGAGGCGCGCTGCGGTCCCCGCAGCCTCCCCGCACCGGGGGCCTGCACGAGGCGGGCTCGAAAGCCCGTTCAAATTAGCGCATTCATGGCGGAGGCCGCCGCACGGCGGCGAGCTCCGAGCCCTGCCCGTGCCGATCAACGATTCGGGCAACCCAATGGGCGGCGGGTGTGGGTTCGGGATTCGTCGAACAGGTGGCGGAATCCGAACCCTACCCCCGCCTCCCATCCATCCAGGAGAATCGATGGCTGGTGGGGGTAGGGTTCGGATGTCGCCACCTGTCCGCACGGCGAGCTCCGCTCAGAAGAGGGCGAGCTGAGAAGTTCAAGGGTCGAGGTCTTCGGGCGTCTTCGTCGGTTTCGGCGGCTTTCCAGCCTCGGGATGCGTTCCAGCGGCTGCGCCTCGCCGAGAGCGTTTCAGGGGTGCCGGAATCGTCCCGAACGGCCGCCGGAGAGCCATGTTTTGAGCCGAAGATCGACGGCAACGACGGCGGCGACGACGACGATCAGAGGAGGTCAGAACGAGGCAGCGATGGTTGGCCTTCGGGGGGCTCCCTCGTCGCCGCGGCTGGACGCAGCTCGGAAAACTGGTGCGTTCGGACCCGGGGAGCTCGGGAGGGGTCCAGGGAGCGCCTCGTGGCCGACGTGGTCTCAGCTCGTCCTGCCCCGATCCGCAGGGGCTGCCTGCCCGAGCCGCTCTTGCACGGTGCGTCTGTCGGGGGCAGCGTTGGGAGGGGGACAGGCTCAGGGGGGAGGGGCAGGCATCGACCCCCCGTCGCCCATCGGTCGCCGATAATCGAAGAAGAACAAAAACGCCATAAACACAAACTGTTGGCGCTCCGCGCGAATTTTTTGGATCCGCGCCTGGGCCCCCCCGGCGGCGCCTCCGGCGCCGCCCCTGGCGCGCTCCGCGCGCCAGGGAGAGGGGTCCGGCGCGAATCCAAGAAATCCGCGCGGAGCGCCAACAGTTTCTGTTTATGTGGTTTTTTCTTCTCCTAGATAAGGGCCCGATGGCCCTTCCCGCCCCTGTCGCCGATCTATTTGCGATTTGTCGCCGATTCCTGGTCGATGTTGTTACCCCCTTGAGCCGGTTTTCCTCATGGGCGAAGGACGTATCCTTATCCACGGTTTCGAGGGCTGGACCCTTGGGCCGCGACCCCGCGGATGCAGGGCGCTTCTTCGCGGACGCTACGCACGGAACGTATCCGTGCGACAGCGCATCCGTGGGATCGTGCCCCAGAATCTACACCACGAGGGCGCGGAGACGGATAGGTTTGCCGCTCGTGGTGCAGTGCGCTCCGCGCGCTGGTTCGAACAGGAGGAGGAGGAGGAGGAGGAGGAGGAGGAGGAGGAGGAGGAGGAGGAGGAGGAGGAGGAGGAGGCTTATGAGGAGGAGGAGGAAAGGGAGGAAGGGGAGGAGGAACTTGACGGGGCGGACGAGGCCCTTCCCTATCGCTGCCCCTCCGTGTGCTCGCCTTTGGCCCGCCCTGCGCGCCTCGCGGGCGCCCCACAGCACGACAAGAGGGCCTCGCGCTGCGCTCGCGCGCAGCGGAGCCCTTCCGCGGGAGCGGGCCGCCTCGAACGAGGGCCTCTCTCGCGGGGAGCCTCGTCCTCGTCCTCGTCCTCCTCCTCCTCCTCTGTCCCTTGTCTTCCTTGTAGATAATTATTCCTTGTCGCCCCCCCCAGGCTCAGACATGTGGGTAAGGCGGGCTGGGCGTTTCGCCTGAGACAGCCTCGCCTTTTATGATCCTGAAGCTTGACAGTTGCAACAGTTTCACGGATGGAGGGCGGGCCGTTTTCAAAATGCGGCTCTCGCCTTAGCACTGCGCACAGTCTTGTTAAACGTTTGGAACGGTTTCATGCATGAGATGCGGCTCTTTGTTTGCAATGTGGCTCTCGCGTTGGCGCCGCGCGCGCTCGTTTGGACATATGGCAGTCGTGTCAACGAAACGCGTAGTCGAAGTCCCAAAAATGGTGCTCCCGCAAGATTGAGGGTTGTCAGGACGCAACAGCCAAATTGATTCGCGGTGTTGAATTTCCAAGCGCGGTGTTCGGGCACGATTTAGGATTGCCAGGACGCAACAATAACATATATTCGCGGCGTTGAACTCCCAGGCATGGTGTTCCGGCACGATTTAAGACTGTCGGGACGCAACAGTCATGTTAGTTATTTTTTTGGTAAAAAAAAAAGCGTTGAGATCCCAGGCATTATGTTTTGGCACGGTTAAGGGTTATGTGACGGTTGTTTTCCAATGGGGCGCTACACTCACTTGGCATGTCCGCTTGCATGGGCCTAACACATTATGTTTCTAACAAGATATGGTGTGCAACTTATGTATAGGAATGCACGTTGCGGAATATAGTTGGTGCATTCTAGCTTGTGTAACGTGTGTTGTGCAACCTATGTTGTGCAATGTATGTTGTGCACGCTATGTGGTGCAGTTCGCGTGCTACCAACGAGTTGACAAAGCGACGAAGTCGCCCCCCCCCACGCTCGTGCAAACACCACCCACCCACCCGCAACTTAGTTTTCAGAACCCATGCGGCGGCGCTTGCGATGACTGCTTGGCGTTGGCTGCCGTGTTTTCGCGGCCGCGCTGGCGCGCGTATGTTTGCGCACAAAGCGGCCAGTTAGTCTGGCGCGACCGACGCGACCAGCTAGTTTGGCGCTGACCGCGAAGGACCCCCCAGTGAGTCTCGCAGGCCGCGTTGGCGTGCGGGCACGTCAGTGCGAGTCGGTGATCCGCGCGGGCGCGGTATCATAGCGATTCCGATCGTGCTGATGCTGGTGACGATGGTGGCGATGACGAGGGCAAGACCAATGGCGGCGCCGATGCTGATCTCGCCGACGACGGTGATGATGTCGACGAGTCGGTTGCGAAGTCTTTGGAAGGATGTCGACATGCGCGCGCGGTCGACGGGTTTGATCGGTCCGCATTGTAATATTTTACACGGGTCGTGCTCCCCCCACCCCACCGAGCGCGCAAAGGCGGTTACATGATTCCCACATGCGCGCGCGAAGGCCCCGCTGGGTCGGATTAGGTGAAATTGTTGTTGCATTTGCGTGTTATGCTTAAAGACAGCAAGAACGCGCGTGCATTCTGTTCATACGTATGCGGGGACCTCGATACTGCAATCATTCCGGCATCTATTGCTTTCGACCGATTTCAGCATGCGCGCACGACGGCGCGCGCGTGTTGGCATATTTGCATTGTTTCGCAAGGGTTTCTTGCGAACGAATGACTGTTGGTGCACGAGTGGACGCGCATTTCATTGGTATGGGGGGGGGGGGGGGGCATGCTGGTTGGGCTCGGATCGTGGGGATTCGTTACTTTCATGAACGATGGGACATACTCATATGTAATTTGCGATCTACCCAGGGGGTACAATCTGTGTTGTGATTTCTATGCGGCGCAGCATGTGCGGCGCAGTCTACGCGGCGCAATGCATGCGGCGCGACTCACTCTGCCGAGCTCGAAATTGTTGTCAAGTCCACTGCTCGCGCAACTATCCCGCCCGCCCACCCGCAACTTGGTTTGCTAAACGCATGCGGCGGTGATTGCGATGTCTTCTCCCCGCTGGCTGGCGCATCGCTGCGGCCGCGCTAGCCCGCGCGTGCTCGCGCGCGCAGCAGCCGACTACTTTGGCGCGGCCCACGCGGCCGCGGCGGCGGTGGTCGCGGCGCACTTCCCAGCGGGCACATCAGTGCGAGCCGGCGACTTGGGCGATGAGGCAAGGATAGACAACGGTAGAAACGACGATGATAGCAGCGACGCAAGTGACATTGCTATCAACGGCGACGGCGAGGCCAGTGGCGGCGCCGATGCTGATCGCTCCGACGACGATGACGGCGCCCTCGCTTTGGAGATGACTGGAGGGAGTTCGGTGCGCGCGCGCGGCTGACGCGCGATAGTAGCCTGCGCGGCGTTATTTGACGCGGATCGGGCCCCCCCCCACCCTGGTTCGAATGATTTCGACGCCCGACGCAAGAGGCCCGTCTGGCCGCATTTACAGAGCACGTCGAATGACCGATGGTATCTCCAGAATTCGCAGGAGCGCGAGCGCAGCTTCTTTTTCGCATTCATGCTGCAAAACTCTACAAAGTGTTCATGCGTTGTGCCAGGGCACTTGTGAACTTCAAAGTCTTTGTGGACCCTGGGATGTCCATGCATCTCGGCGCGCAAGCGACGATGCGCGCGCGTGCCCGCGCCTGTTTTTTTTTTGTTGCCAGCCAGGGGATCTCGCGATAGCGCGCGCGCCGGGGGGCTCGAATGTCCTCGTCGCGCGCGCGGGGGGCGCCCGCGCGGTGGCGTTTCGTTGGGATGTTGAAAGACCAATGGATTCTTCGGATTCGGATTTCGCATGGGCGCCGGCGCATGCCCCCCGTGGACGTTCTCGCTGCAAGCCGTAGTTTGCTTGGTTTTCGGGGCAGTCGATTTTGATGTCCTCAAGGAACCTATGGTTCTTGAAAGATTTCGGCGCGCGCGACGACGCGCCCCGTGTTTTGCAGGGGGTCATGAAAACTGATGATTCTTGATGCGCGCGTGCCTTTTTCGCAGAGGGTGGCGGGGGGCGGCGATGCCGGCCTGCTTGTGATGGTATGAACTCATATCTAGGTCGGGCGATTGGGCAGAATTGCACGCGCGTGGCTCTGCGAAGACGGGCGCGGTTAAATTCGGCGGGGTGGGGGCGGGGCGGGGGGGGGCCGGGCGGGAGGGGTGCATCTTGGGACGCAAGTTCTTTAAACGCTAGACGATCACAAATATATAACAAAGAACCAATAATATATGTATAACCTATATGTGCGTGGAACCATGTAGTGCAGCATGCATCTCTGCGGCCGCGTTGGCCCGCGCGTGCTCGCGCGCGAAGCGGCCAGCTAGATTGGCGCGGCCGACGCGGCCGCGGTGGCGCTGGCCGCTGGGCGCTTCCCAGCGGGCACTCCAGTGCGGGTCGGTGACTTGCGCGGGCGCGTTTTCATGGCGACGCCGACGACGGTGGGCGCGATTATGCGAGTAGCGATGGCGGCGGAGGCGGCGTTGGCGACGGCGCGGCCAATGGCGGCGCCGATGTTGATCACTCCCGCCGATAACGATGACGACGCCCTCGCGTCGGTGGCGAGGGTCGTTGATGGAGTTCGACGCGCGCGCAGCCGACTCGCCCGATTGGCCCGCGCTGCATTTTTCGAAACGGATCGCGCCCCCCCTCCTCCCCAAGCGCGCGCGAGTTCGATCGGGTGAGTTCGACGTGCGGCGCGAGAGGCCAATTTGGCACGATTTGATGAACATGTTGGGGAATCTTGTTTCTTCTGCCCACGACGCATGTTTATAGGAAATCCGCGCGCTCGCGAGCGCCAGGTTTCTTTGGAAACGGGCGTTGCATGCATATATATATATATATATATATATATTACGAATGTTGTGGAAGCGCTCGATTCTGAAAGCTCTGCGAAACCGCGGGCTGTCCAAGGATTTCGGCGCGCGCGCGCGTGCACTTCGCCTTGTTTGCTACGGGCGATTCCTGCGACGCAGCGCGCGCGGGGGCGCTCGAGCGATGTCGACGCGCGCGCGAGAGGCCAACTTGGCCACATGTTTATGACAATGTTGGAAACCGATGGCTATCTCACAGAAATCGCAAGTGCGCCGGCGCATTTTTAACGGGGGAACCCGCGCTGCAAGACCATGTTTTGTTTCGGTGTTTTCGCGGCGCTCGCTTTTGAAATCATTGCCAAGTGCGTTTTTTTGTTTTTTTCCCCCCGCGCGGATTTCGGCGCGCGCGTTTTTTGCAGTGGATTTCGGAAAACGGACGATTTTTGATAAACGAGGATGCGCGCATTTTTTGGGGGGCTGAGGATGGCGGGGGGGGCCGATGCCGGCCTGGCTTGGACGGCATGAATTTGGATGTAGGGTGGACGACGGGTCAGGCTCATGTATAAATTCGCGCGGCATCAACAACCAATAACTCTTGGGGGGAATTGGGCATACTTTCATCCCTTTAAAGGAAGGAGAATCTATGAGGCGTGACGGCTCGATGTTGTGCAATCTACGTGGTGCAATCCACTCTGCTGAACTTGAAGTCGTCATCTCCACTGCTCGCGCAAACATCCCACCCACCCACCCGCAACTTGGTTTGCAAAACCTGTTGAGACCGACTACGACGACACCGACGACGATGACGACGACGACGACGACGACACCGACGACGTCCCCGACGACTTCGACGACGACAACGACGCCGACGCCGACGACGACGAAGACGACGAGGGAGGATGGAGGACGGCCACGACGCGAACGACGACGAAGGAGGAAGGACGGCGACGCCGACGACGACAACGACGAGGGAGGAGGGAAGACGACGACGACAACGACGACGACGACGGCGACGAAATAGGAGGGACGACGACGACACGCCGACGACGGACGACGACGACGACGTGGGAAGAGGAGGAAGGACGACCACGGCGACAACGACGACGGAAACGACCACGACGCCAAAGAGGACGACGACGACGAACACGAGAAAAGACAGAGGACGACGTAGGCGACGACGACGACGACGCGGGAGGAGGGAGGACGGCGACGACGACGACGACGACGACGCAAGAGCGCGCGCGCGCACGTTGTAGTTGAAACTCCGTGT